GGATCTCTGGATGGTTGCGTTTTCTCTTGAGACGCCCGAAATGGGTACGGACAAAAATCGGTACAATGCTCAACAACAAATGTTGTCCAAAACTGACAGCGGCGGCTGTTGTGCAGGCTTCTTTGTTGTGCTCAAAGAACATCGAAGGTCCGCGGCAGCGCGGACACCGAGTCCTGTTCAAAACGAACCAAAAGTGTTGTGGGGCATCGTGCCCATTCTTCCCGTACCCATCTCGATCGTCCCGATTCTCAACTCTGGCAGCACCCAGTTCTCGGTGGCGGCCAAGAGGGGGTCGTCCAAGAGGGGGGAGGGGCGCAAATCATGGCCGGCGGCATGTGCGCGGCCCACGGGGGGGCCAGGGACGTAATTAAATCAGAAGAGAAGCCATGAAATCCGGGGAGATCTCCTGGCCCACGCCATGGCATCCACTCCCTTAGTCATCCATAGGTGGTTCGTGATATCATGGCCATGACGTCGAGAGCATCGAACCCCCTATCATGACGTTCCTTCGAGTCTCCTCGAGCACCGATCCTTGATGTCGATACCAACGCCATGATATCATGGCCCACGCCATGACATAAACGTAACAATTCGGAGGTCCACGCAGATTTCTCGGATCGGCGCTGGACCCCCCTGGCGGCGCCTCCGGCGCCGCCCCTGGCGCGCTCCGCGCGCCAGGGAGGGTGGGTCCAGCGCGGATCCAAGAAATCCGCGCGGACCTCCGAGTTGTTGTTTATGTCATTGTTCGCTTCCCAATGCACGGTTTTCTCCGGGGCCGTACGCGACCCGAGGAGAAGGAGGAGGAGGTAGAGGAGGGGGATGGGGAGGAGGAGATGGAGGAGGAGGTGGGGGAGGAGGAGATGGGGGAGGAGGAGGAGGAGGAGGAGGAGGAGGAGGAGGAGGAGGAAGAGGAGGAGAAAGAGGAGGAGGGAGGAGGGATGATGGAGGAGAGAGGAGGGAAGAGGAGGAGGAGGAGGCGGAGGAGGTGGAGGAGGAGGAGGACCAGTGAAAACCCAAGAGTCATCAACGATGTTGGAATTAACCCTCCCTCCAAGCTCCCTCTTCATATGCCCCTACAGCGGTTCATTTCCATTGAGGGAACTGCCTCGTTGGAAGACAACAGTTTGAAGATCCTGAAGCGTGCCAACACATTGTTCTCGGGAATTCAACGTCACGTATCAACCTGACTGCTGCGGATCCAGAATCGTGCCAGAACGCTATTGTGGGGCTTCAACACAGCGAATCAACATAACTGTTGCGCCCGCATAGTCCTGAATCTTTCCAAAACGCTATTCCTGGTACGTTGACCATGGGGATATGTGAAACTCTTGCAACGTTTAAAACGAATGTGCGCGGCGCTAAGGCGAGAACCACATGTTGAAAAGGAACCTCTCTCGTTCCGTGAAACGCTTGCAAATTCTTGAAAGCAATGTGCGCGGCGCTAAGGCGAGAACCACATTTTGAAAAGGAACCGCTCTCAATCCGTGAAGCTATTGCTAATCTTGAAACGAATGTGCGCGGCGCTAAAGCGAGAACAACATAAAGCGGCCCGCCCTCAATCCGTGAAATTCTTGCAATCTGTTAAACTGAATGTGCGCCTCCCTAAGGCGAGAACCACATTTTGAAAACCACCCGCCCTCAATCCGTGCAGCTCTTGCAACTGTAAAACGATTGTGCGCAGCGCTAACAGGAGAGCCACAATATGAAAAGGAACCGCATTCGATCCGTGGAACTCTTGCAAAATTCGAAACCGAATGCGTGCGGCGCTAAAGCGAGAACAACATTTCGAAAACGGCCCGCTCTCAATCCGTGAAACTCCTGCAATCTGTTAAAACGAATGTGCGCGGCGCTAATGCGAAAACCACATTTTGAAAACCACCCGCCCTCAATCCGTGAAACTCTCGCCAGCGTTTAAAACGAATGTGCGCGGCGCTGAGGCGAGAGCCACATCTTGAAAATTACCCGCCCTCAACTCTGAAGCTGTTATTATTTCTTAAACTTCAGAATCATACATTGTGAAAAGTCTCGGGCGAAACGCCCGGCCCGCCCTAAAAACTGGCCTCGGGGTGCGACAGGAAGGAGTTCTCTATAAGGAGAAGGAATCGAGGAGCAGGACGAGGAGGAGGCAAGAGCAGGAGGAGGAAGGAGAAGGAGGAGGGAGGAGGGAGGAGGAGGAGGAGGAGAAGGAGGAGGAGGAGGACGAGGACGGGTCGCCCAAGCCCTTCGGAGAAACCATCCACTCACCTAATGATATAAACTCCCTCTTTGCCGCTCCCGATGTTCTACCCTCCGCCTTCTTCCTCCCCTCCACCCCGTCTTTGCCGCCCTCGCGAAGTCCCGACCATTTCCCCGGGGCCAGCTTTTAGCTATGAGTCGGTGTTTGACTGTCCCGAGGCCTGGCGAGGGCGCCCCGAGGCCGAAAATGGCCAACAACCTCCCGTCCTGATCTTTCCACGACGCGATCATGTCTGGGATCGCCTGATCCTTGTCGCCCCCGAAGCTCTCCCCTCCGCCTCCCTCCCCCCCCCCTCCGGGCCGCCTGCGGGGCCGTCCCCCGGGGCCCACGACGGGGGGCAGGACAGGCCCCGACAGGCGTCGTACTGCCCCGGCGCCGGGGCGTCAAAACTGATGAAAGTGTTCTTCACCGGCATCACTCCTGGGCACGCGGGGAGGACCCAAAGATCCAACGCTCCCAAAAAATCGGAGCGGCGGGATTTTGGCAGCTTTCGGCCTCCGGGGGCCCTCGCCGGCCCCCGGGCGCGTCAAAAAACGACTCGGGGCGAAAATCCACTCCCGGGGAAGTGGTCCGGAACTCCGGGCCCCATGCATAGAAAACATTGGAGCGGGAATGTGGAAACAAACGATGACACAAACATGCAAACTTGGAGGTCCGCGCGGACTTCTTGGATCGGCGCTGGTTCCCCCCTCCCTGGCGCGCGGAGCGCGTCAGGGGCGGCGCCGGAAGCGCCGCCAGGGGACCCCAGCTTCGATCCAAGAAATCCGCGCGGCCCTCAGAGTTTTTATGTTTATGTCATTGTTTGTTCCCCAAGGGAAATATAAGGGCACCGACACCCTCGACTGTACACGCAAGAGGGCCCTTGGGTAAGAGTGGCCTTTGGTGCGCCGCTTCTTGGGGGGCCGCGGGGAAGCCACACCCCGAGCGCCGAGCGCGCAAGACGCTGCTACCGCCTCGCCTTGAGTCACATGTCGGCCCCACCGTGCCCGCACCAGAGGTCAGTCCGGCGAAAGGTCACACTTACGTCTAGTCGACACCCGCGATACGCGATCGCCGTGCCGGCATGCAGGAAGCGGACACGGGAGGACAAGGGCCCCGAGAAATGTCTTTGCAGTGTTCGGGGACCCGGTGCCCTTCGCTTGACCCGAGGCCGTCCAACAACGGACTCGGGAGGAAGACCTGGTCCTGGGGAAAGCCTCGGGGTCTCGTTTCCGTCAGGACCTCCTCCCACGAACTCCCCCTCCTCGTTCTCCTCCTCCTTCTCATCCTCCTTCTTCTCCTCCTCCTCAAACCCCTCCTCCTTTCCCTTCTCCTTTCCCTCCTCCTTTCCCTCCTCCTCCTCCTCCGCCTCCTCCTCCTCCTGCTCCAGCAGGAAGGCTCACAAACTCAGGAACGGCTCTCTCGCTCGAGACTTTCTCGTGATTCGATCGAATTGGTGGAAGAGCAACTACGACGACAAGGCCTCTCGTTTGATACTTCCTCAAGATGCATTCGCAAAGGTCCTTGCCAGAGAGGCCCCCGAAATCAAGAGTGGCGGTCTCGCTCGAGACTTCATCGTAATTCAAAAAAGCTAGTGGACACCCAGACACGGCGACAAGGGGCTCCCGTTCGAAATTTCTCCATATATTTTCCAAGAGCCCCTGGCCAGAGAGGCCCCTGAACTCAGGAACGACGCTCTCGCTCGAGAAATTCCTCGCACTTCAGTCAGTGGCCGACAAGGAAGATATTCACCCCAGAAGCGGGTGCAATCGAAGACGAAATCGGCGGGTATCGAGGGTTGGGGTATATAGAATGCAAGAAACGCGTGCCAGTAAGAGCGAACAGTCTTGAAATGATTGCTGTTGTAGTCGTAGATGGCGACAGGCTGCCTAACGGCCTAGACGCCCTCGGCCGAACGCAAAGAAAAGCCATGCGGGGTTGAGGAGAAACAACCCTAGGGCAGCCTCGTGGCCAGCCCAGGGCGGAATCAAGTGTGAACAACCCTACCAGGGCAGCTCGCAGCCGAGGAGACTGCGCGGCCGCCGCGCTCCTGGCCGGGCACTCGTCATTGCGCAGGGGGTGAGTGGGCCCAACAAATCGAGGATATCAACGTCGCGCCGATAAGACAAGAAAAGAGCGCGCTTCGGTGCCAGCACGAATGACACTATACAAGCCGGATTTGGGCGTTTGGGCGAGCCTTTGTAAAAGAGGACGACGACGACGACCAAAACCCTCCGCAACACGTGCCCTCCCTTTCCCAGCCGCAGCCCTACGCGAGCCGCCTCGGCAGACAACAATGGCGTTTTCCGCGCGCCTTCTGCCCAGGCCCCCTCCCCGGAAGGCAGTTAGCAATCAGGTGCCGGCAGAACTCGCACACCAATGCCATAAGCGGAAGCAGGGCGCAGGGAGGACAATAAACGTCAAGGTGCGCCGTCGCACAAGAGCCCGGCGCGCCGAACGGCCCCTCCCCCAGTGTCCCCGGACCCAAGACTCGGAATCTCTACGGCAGGCCCTCCTTTTTGGCAACTGGCGACAAGGCAAAACCCCCGTCCGTGCACGCCCCTGTCCAGCAGGGGAGGCAAGCACCGTGTCCGGATGCTGCTGAGAGGCTCTCTAGACACCGCGCTGCGCATGGCCCTGGCCCTCCGGAAGGGCGTGAAAGGGTGGGGCTCTGGCGTACCTGCCCGCGGCCTCTCAGCTTGCGCCGAGGAACCGCGCGTCCCTGACGCTTGAAGAGGCTGTCGACCGTGGCCTGCGCCACCAGCAAGCTCTCGTCGACCTGTTCCTAGTCCGTCTTGGCGGCCGCGAGCCGCTCCTGCAGCACACGCAGCAGCTCCTGCGGGGGCTGGGACCTGCGCTCCTCCACCTCCAGGTTGGCGACAAGCCACCCAGCCGCTGCGACCACGAGGAGGTGGTCCACGTCGTACTTGAGCAGCTGGAGGGCGGCCAGTCGCTTCCGGGCGCGCACCGCGGCAGGGCTCTCGACTGGCTTCCCACCGCGAGCGGCACCATCGCCAATGCCAGCAGCCGCATCAGCCCCCGAAGCCCGCCTGCGGCTCGAAGGCGCGGAACGTGGCTCCCGCGGTCACGCACGCACTTCCAGCGCGTGGTGCGGGTGTCGAAGATTTTGAAGCCCCAAATCTTCTGGCCACGCACGCCACCACATTTCCGCCTCCATCCAGCTTCAGCGCCTCCTGCTGCTGCAGCCCCTCATTGCGGGGGAGCCCCCGACGCAGTGGCACCAACGGCGTGCCCAGGTGCTCGCCGTGGTGCGTGGCGAGGAGCTGGCGCGCCTGCGCACGGCGGAGGGCAGCGGACCTCACTCCGCTTGTGCCTCTCGCGCCGATGCTAAGTTGGCGAGCGGGACCGCTCCCCAGGACTGATTGCACCAGCGCCCGCACCGCGCGGGCAGCTCGCGGCTGGGACCACCTGGCGCGCGCCCGACCTCTTGCCCCAGCGGGATGGGGCAGAGAACCCAAATGGCAGCCTGAGGGAGGGAGAACGGGGAGAAGAGAAAGGAGGAGGGGGAGAAGGGGGGAGGAAGAGGAGGAGCAGGAAGAAGAGGAGGAGGAGGAGGAGGAGGAGAAGGAGGAGGAGGAGGAGGGGGGCGGGGGGGGGCCACGGCCGCGCGCGCACGGCCGCGGGGGAGAGGAGGGGGGGTCGGCTCCCCCGCTCCTTGCCTCTGGCGGTGGCGCGCGCGCACGCCTAACGGTGTGGTCCGGTGGCTCACACCACACAGCCGCGCCCCCGCTTCCTCCGCCTTCCGGCTCTCCCGGCTCCCTCCTCCTTCCCCCTTCTCCCTGGCGCGCGCCACGCACCCTAAACAGCGATGTTGTGCTTCCCGCTGCTCCTTCGCCCTCCCCCCCTCCCGCTGTTCAGGGTCTCTCCCTGGCACTGCTCGAGTCTGTCTTCTTAGGCCGGCTTCAACATGAGACTGGCCCCGTAGTGCCGCCGGGTCCGCCATGACCACGGGCGGCAGAGGAGGAGGCGGAGGCGGAGGCGGAGGACGAGGCGGAGAAGGAGGCGGAGAAGGAGAAGGAGAGGAGTGGGGACAAACGATCGGCGGCTCTGCTCAGAAGCCCTCCTGCCATGTGAGAAACGTTCGGTGTCTTCGTGGAAAACTCAAAACACTTCCCAGAAGGCTGGGGGACTTCCGGGCCTTCTGAGGAGGCACGCCCGATCTCGCTTCCCCCTCAGGCTGGCCGGGGAGGAGGAGGGGGACAAGGGGGAGGCGGAAGAAGGCGGGAAAGAAGGCTCGCGGCGATGCGGATTCCAAACACGGGCTCAACAACACAGGAGGGTTGGGGAGAAAGGATGCCCTATGCGAGAGGGCATGACCTGCCTGCGCAGCTGCCTCCGCAAGCCGCCCGCCGACGAGGCAGAACGCGTGGGAGGGCGCTCGCGAGCGGCCATACGCGGGCAGCTTACGCTCGAATGTCAACGCACGTCGAGCGCCAGATCGAGTCAGGCCAGGCTCGACCAAAGTGAGGCTGAACCGAGCACTGGTTCACCCCCCCCCCCTCCTCCTCCTCCTCCTCCTCCTCCTCCTCCTCCTCCTCCTCCTCCTCCTCCTCCTCCTCCTCCGCCTCCTCCCGGGCGTTGCAGCCGGCCCCCCCGTCCTAGGCGCAGCAGGTACTCCTCCCACTCCTCGCGAGTGAGGCTGGCCGCCACAGCCCCACGCGGGGACGTCGGGGCCACCGGTACCATGCGGCGCCTTCGCCGTTGGGCCCCCACCCCCCCCGCAAGGCTGGGGGGCGCAGCGGCGCAGTGCGGGGGAGCGCCAGAGGCGCACTGGGCACCATGCGGCGGCGGCTCGAGCCAAAAAGAAGCTTCGGGGGGGCGCGACCCGTGGGGAACCGACCGCAGTCCGACTCGACCCACGCCTCCAGCCTCGGGCAGCGTCTGGCAAGCCCATCCGACACTGGAGGCCCCCCAGATGGGGTCCGAGTAAATGGGGTCGGAGGATCGCGCCGCATCGGCGATGCATCGGCGACTCCAGTGTGGAGAAAACCGGAGTCAGCATCGAGACGCATCGCCGATGCATCGACGATACAGCGCGATCCTCCGACCCCATCTGCTCGGACCCCATCTGGGAGGCCTAGAGACATCCACAAACGCATGGTCAATTGGATGGGCACTGGTCATCCATGCCAGCTCCGAATCGCTAGGGGGTGCGGATGAGGGTCAGAACGTGGCCGTTGCCGACGAGGCTGCAAGCGTGAGCCTCCTCGAACTCCAGTGCGAAGCAAGCTCGTCTTCCAGAAGAGGCTCGGGCGGCAAGCGCACTGCATAAACACTTGCCGAGCCGAAACGTGTCTCTGCAATAACAACACATAAAACAACTACTAGTTGAATGAACGGAATCAAGAAATCCAACGAACACGCAGACGGCACATGTTGTGACAGGTGAAGTTTCCCGTGCCAGCCACAATTACCAGGCTTGGGAGGGTTGCGCACTGCGAGTGCAGCGTTGTGTTTTGTATGTCCTGCTATGTCTGAAGTCCCTCAACATTGGGCTCGTCTCACTTGAGCGCTTGAGCGGAAAAAGGTGGCATGATATGCCCAACTTCGAACCGAATGATGAAGAAGATAAAGTCTTTGCCAACACGGACCCCACATCTGCCACCGTGTGGTGGGCACTGAGTGGAGTGTCCTCAGGTCCCGTCGAGTTCTCTGGCTTGTCTACAAAAGGGGCCCGACCACAAGAAACCGTCCACAAGAAACCCAACCCTGAGATCCCAGGACGACCAGTGTTTTCTGGCGTGGGAACGGCACGCTTTCCAAAGCAAAACCGTCGAAATCCAAGAAACCCAGGGCACCATGGAGGCAAGCAGGGTGTTCCTTGGCATGGGCCCCCACTGTAATCCATTGTTTGAGAGGGCCCAGGCCTCCTGTCGCCGGACCTCTCTTGGGACTATTCTCGCGTGGCTCCCGGCGTGTGCCGCCCGACTTGTCCTCTGGGAAGCCAGGCGGTCCAACGACTGCCCAGCAGGGTCCCAAGAGGCCCCCGAGGCTGGCCAAGAGGGCCCCAGGACGGACAAGGGGCGCAGAGGCCACGAGGGCCCCCGAGGCGGCCCAGGGTGGCCACAAGAGGCCTCCAAAAGCACCTCAAGAGGGAGAAAGCGAAGGGGCCTTGGGAGCGTTTTCTCAAGAAACGTTGCCCCCAAGACCCCCAACATGCCCCCGAGGGCCCCCCAGAAGCACACAAGAGCCCCGAAGAGGCCTCCAAGAGACCTCCTAGAGACCCCCGAGAGGCCCCAAGACCGCCCTCAAGTGGCCGCCGGAAAGCCCCAGAGAGGCATCCCAAGAGACCCCAGCATGCATACAAAAAACCTCTGGCCCACAACCCAAATACGGTGGCGTGCACCCTACATGGCACAAGACATGCGACGCGACGTGTGCGGTGCAAAACAGGCGGCGGGGTCCGCATGGTGCAATATGCCGCATGTGCCACATTCGTGTAGCGCGTTCTGTCGGATGTAATGCATATGTTGCAATGCGTATGGTGCGAAATGCGGCGCGATCTGTGCGGTGCGACCTCTATGGGATCAAGCCACGCGGCCTATCCCTGACACTCGTCTAGCGTGCTTAAACTCCCTCCGGCCTGCGAGCCGCAGCCCCTGACCCAGACCGAAAGGGAACGAACAAGAACCGCAGCTGGCCGCGCCTGGCCGCCTTCGCGGGCGGGCGAGCGCAAAGCGAAGACGCTGTAATGCCGGAGGAGGAGGAGGAGGAGGAGGAGAAGGAGGAAGAGGAGGAAGAGGAGGAAGAGGAGGAGGAGGAGGAGGAGGAGGAGGAGGAGGAGGAGGAGGAGGACGACGAGGGCGAAGAGGGTGTGGCAAAAAATGCGGTGTCATGCCTGAATGGTGAGGCCTGCGTCGTGCAGACGCCGGCCGACCTAACGAGGAGCGGCCACGAGAGGACGCCACAAGCGCGGCCACACCGGCGAGCGCCCGGGGAGGACGGCCAACACCCCCACGAGGCGGCGGCGAAGGGCCCCCGGGCGAGCCCCCCAGCAGGCCCGGTCGGCGGACGGGGCGGCCGCGAGACGGCGACGGTTCGGGCAGGGACCGAACCAAGAACCCACTGCTCTTGCTGCGCGAGCCATTCCATGAGGAGCCCCAAACGTCAGATGCCGAGAAGAGGTTCAAGACATTCCCTATGGGCCTACCACGAAGTGGTCTTAGGACCCCACAGCATGTTCTAAGAACAAAAGCCGGTTTCTCTCAGAACAGAAGCCCGATCTGTGAAAACACCAGACAGCCTCGACCAGGAAGGTTATGAGAACATGCTTGTGCAGACCACAAAAAAGTTCTTAGAAAATTCTTTGGTTGGCCTGTAGGCCAGCCGGGACGCTTCGCCACTGCTTGACCGAAAGCCTGGTCGGCGGACGGGGCGCCCACGAGACGGCGGTGGTCGGCGGCTGGGCCAAAGCCCGGTGAGCACCCGGCCCAGACAACCGGGGTGGCCACGTGGCGGCGGGCGGCGACCTGGCGAACAGCCGCAAAACCTTCCCGATTGTGTGATTAGGCAATCCGCAACCGTGCCATGGCGCACGCTGCAACACGCCTTGGAAAGACGAGAACTCTGAAAAACTAAAAAAAAAACCTGAGGATAATCAGGGTGTTTGCCTCCTCGGGCGCACGCTCGGGGGTCCTCTCGAGGGCCCCTTGGGCCATCTTGGAGCCCTCCTGGACCGCCTTGAGGCCACCTTGGAACCCTGTTGGGCGGTCTTGGGCTCCCTTGGGGCGCTCTTGGGCCGTCTTGGAGCTGCCGAAGACCTCTGGGCGCCTCTGGGGCCGCCTTCGGGCCGTGCCGGGCGTGTTCCCATCACTCGCACCTCGCTCTTTCCGTCACCTGCGCCGTCACGGGAACGGGAAGAGCGCTTCCGAGGCTTGCCCGAGATGGCTCACGGCACCGCCTGCGCTTGGGAGCCTCGGCGTCAACAGCTTGTTTACGTCACCGCTTTCTGTCGGGAAGCTTGGTGTTAGGACCTGTTTACGCGACCGCTCGCCCTTGGGAGCATCAGGTGTCAAGCGCTTGTCACGTCACTGCGAGCTCTTGTGAGCCGAAGTGTTCAGAGCTTTCTATGTCACCGTTCGCTGTTGGGAGCCTTGGTATCAAAAGCTTCTCGCGTCACTGTGAGCCCATGGGAGCAGCCCGCTCTTTCGCGTCTCTGGGCCTTCGTAGGGGGACATTGTGGGGCCGTGTTGGGGCCCTCTTGGGCCGTCCTGTGGACCTTCTGGGCACTCATGGGGCGTCTTGGATGTTTACGGTAGGTCTGGGGCTCTTTTGCGGGCCTCTTGGGAGGGAGGAGGTAGGAGGTAGGAGGTAGGGAGGAGGGAGTGGGAGGAGGAGGGAAGAGGAGGAGGAGGAGGAGGAGGAGGAGGAGGAGGAGGGAGGAGCAGGGAGAGGAGGAGGAGGGAGGAGAAGCCACCATTGGGGCCCTCCTGGGGACCTCCTGGGCCGCCCTGGGGACGATCTTAGAGGCCTCTTGGGAGACATCCGCGCGGAGCACCAACAGTTTATGCTTATGGCGTTTGTTCTTCTTCTGTCGGGCGTTGGTAGAACTTGGTTTAGTGGAACCTGGTTTAGTGATCTGTACCGGGGGCGCCCCCCCCCCCCGTCCCATTTCCACTGACCGGAACTGCCGTCACCTGAAAAAAACACCAGCTATGGCAAACCTGGTTTAGTGATTCTGGCCAATTCGAAGGCTCCGGGGCCCTACCACTAACCGGGTCCCCTCACCCGGGGTCCTGGCCATACCCGATTCTGGCCTCCCCGTCCTTCTCCCTCTCCCCTCCCCCTTCCCCTTCCACCCCCCCTCCACCGGCGGCGGAGTGCTCCGCTGTGCCGGGCGGCCAGGGTCGGCCCGGGCCGTCCTGGACCCGAAAATGCGAGACCCCCCCAAGTCTTCAAAACGCGAAGGGACCTCAATGTGTTTCAATGTTTTGGGCCTCCGGAGACCCTCTCGGGAGTCCTGTAGGGGGCCACATGCGAACCCGACCCCTACCCCCCACGATTTCTGAGGGGGAGGGTGGGGTAGGGTTCGCATGTGGCCCCCTACCTGTTCGGGGCCTCTCGGGCAGTCACGGTGCTCTCTGGGACCGTGCCGAAACCATCTTGAGCCATCTTCGAACCGTCTTGGACGGCCTGTGTCTCCCTTGGAGCGGCCTCGGGCCGTCTTGGAGCTGTCAAGGACCTCTCGTGGGCCGTCTTGGGGGTACCAATCGGGAGGGGCCAAGAGGGGGCGTCCAAGAGTGGGGGGCGGAAATCATGGCCAGGGGCACGTGCGCGGCCCAGGGGGAGGCCAGGGACGCATTGATATCAAAAGACCATGAAATCTGGGGAGATAGAATGGCCCCCGCCATGATATCCACGCACCCCTCGTCTTGGGTCGGGCATGTCCCCCTACAGGCGGATCTTGGACGAAAAATGAAACATACGCCGAAAATGTTCAACAAGTGCTCAGACATAGTTGTTAAACAATGTCCCCATACAACGTTTCGGCTACCCTATTATTTTTTGACTAGTTTAGAATCTTCCTCCCGTCGAGGGACAGGCCCGACTTAACCCTAGTCATCACCCCCCTCTTCGCCGCCCCCGAAAGGCCGCCCTGGGAGCCTCTGGGGCCGTCCTGTCCTTGGACCCTGGGGGGGGAGGGGCGCGCTGCGCCCGGGCGTCCGCTCGTCGCTCCTCCCCTGGAACCCCTCCCAGCAGCGCGTCGCCCCACCAAAACCGGGGAGACATAAGACTTGGGTGCGGGGGACTCGGGTCGGCCTGGCGGGGCCATCAGAAAACGTGGCGAGACCCAGTCTGAAATGTGGCGCGAGCTCCGCTGCAAACGTCCCGCGGAGACTGAGGACCGTCAAAATCCAGGACGCGCGCGTCAAAAAAACGTCGGCTGACCCGAGTTCCGGCTTTCTCGAGTCTTACGCATCCCCGACAAAACGCCATCACTCGTACGGCAGGCTCGTGTCGTGACGACCCCTTTCTGGCACCGCGTGGATCGTTCAACCTCGAACGATCGGCGGCTCCTCGATCGCCCGATCGTTCCATAGAAGCGGATTCTGGGCCACTGGCGGCGTTCAACCTTGAACGCCCGCGGCGGGGTCGCCGCCGGTCGACACGACGCGAACCTACCGTACCTCGCTCTTTCCGCCACCTGGCCCGGCGCGGGAACGGAAAGAGCGCTCGAGGAGCGCACCCGAGAGGGCTCACTCATGCCACCGTTCGCTTTTGGGGGCCTTGGCGTTAACATCTTCTTCACGTCGCCGTTCGCTACTGGACGCCTTCCTGTGAAGAGCGCGTTCACGTCCTTGCTCGCTCTTGGAGCCTTGGCGTCAAGAGCTCCTTACGACACCAGTCGCTCTTGGGAACCTTATTCTGAAGAGTTGATTACATAACCGTTGACCTTGGGAACCTTGGAATAAAAGGTCGTTAGCGTCGCCGTTTGCTCTTGGGAGCATTGGCGCTCAGAGCTGTTTGCGTCGCCGTTCGCTATTGGGAGCTTTGGTGTGGTTCGTCCGGGAGGTCCTCTGGGGACCCTTTGGGTGTCTTGAAGCTCTCTTTGGCCGCTCTGGGGCCCTCTTAGACCGTCTTGGGTGGCTTGGCCCGTCTTGGGGCCCTCTTGGAGCCATCTGGCCTTTTTGGTAGGGTTCTCGGCCTCTTGGGGTCCTCTTGGGCCCCTCCTGACCTGTCTTGGGGCTCTCTGTGGCCGTCCTGCGGCCCTCTTAGGCAATCTTGGGGCCTTCTTGGGAGCCTGAAAGGCCGTCTTGGGGCAATCTCGAAGACCCTCAAAGCCGTCTTGGACCGATCTCGGCCTGAAAAGGCGATAACCCAAACATCAATGGAACTCCCTAGGGGGATCAATGTTGTTTGCCTCTCCACCCCATCCTGGAGGTCCTCTTGGAAGCCAGCTGGGCCGTCTGGGCGCCTCTTGGCCCGTCTTGGGGGGCTTGGGCCGTCTTGGGGCCTCTTGGGCCCTCCTTGCGGCCTCCTATGGCCCTCTTGGGCTCTTCCAGAGCCTCTTGAGCCCCTCCTGGGGCTCTCTGTGGCCGTCTTGGAGCCCGCAAGGTCTGTCTTGGGACCCTCCTGGAACTCGAAGAGCCTCCGTGGGGCCGCCTTTGGACTCCCCTGGGCCGTTTTGGGGCCCCCTTTGCAACTCACAGCCAGGAGCCTGCCGACCTAGAGCCTACCTGCGACAGATGGTCTCCAAAGGCCAAGCGTGAGATCCGTTTCGGGCTCCAGGAGGGCCCCGCTCTACGTTTCCCCGCGTGCCACGGCGTATCGTGCTCCCCACTCTATTTGCAGCCTGGCCACGCCTGATGATCTGCCCGAGTGTCCTCGTAGAGCCCCAGACCTGAAAGGCAAATTATATACGTGCCACATACTTCCAGAACGCTTCCTCCCGAAACCGTTCTGGTTCAAGCCTTCGCAACGTCACAAGGACGCTGGACATACTGGTGTGCGTCCGGGAGACGCAGGATAGCGTGCTGACCCCGCTACCAGAAGCCGCCTTCCATCACCATCGTGCTGCCAGCGCGGCACATCCACTACCCGACCAAACCTTCCAGACATCAGCATAAAGTGCCGCAGCGACGTTCACAAGAGAAACGAGACTAGTATCACACAGAGGTTATCAGAGCAGTGGTCAGAGCGGGACCATTGCATGGTAGCGGAGCTTTCAAGCTCTACGGACAACAGATGGACGGATGTTCCAAACAACCATGGCACGGAACAACGGAAAAACGACATCGTTCCCAAGTGGAACGGAGATCTCACCACGGTAGACGACTATGAGAGAGACGTGACGGCCTACATTTGAAGAACGCGGCGAGACGAGCGATATGCGCGGCCCGAGACTCGACTCGAGGGTCGATCCCGACAGGCAACGAAAGACGTTCAAGGGAACCGCATCGAGAAAGACGACGCCGCTACAGAAACCCTACGACATATCCGTGCAAAGCTAGAGGCCCAGCCCATCCAGGATGCAGGCAAGTACTTATCCATATGGATCGCCGATTTGAGCAGAGATGACGACAACCGATGCTAAGGTACATCAGCAGGGATGACGGAGCTCATAACGACGTGGTCAAGGGATTTGACACCGATCATTTCAAGAAACATAAATTTCACCGACTCTCGCACAGGTCCAAGGAGGGGAACGAACTCTACACGGAGCTGAACTGGCTCCTGTACAAGGTCGACCTAGAGGACCCAGACGGCGCGGGCCACAAGACAAGAGCGTTGAATGAGCAGCTCTGGAACTTTTTCAAGAGTGGCCTCGATGAGAATCCAAAGCATCCCGATGTTGGAACCGATTTCAATCAGGCGATTCCCTTGGACCAGCTGCGTGGATGGCTACTGCTTCAGAGATCGCAACTTTCACCTACGAGCGTGCAGCAGTCATCAGCGCAGTAAAAGGCAACTTCGACTACGACAGCATCGGAGAGCAGCTACGAGTATCGTGGCCAGACGATGAGCTCACACATCGAGATACGAAGACAGAAGACAGGAAAGGATCATCGTCATCGAGAGCGGGGTCGGATTCACGTCGGCTTGGAAGAAGATGACGAGGACGAAGACTGTACGTAATCATTATGACAGTGAGTCGGAGATCTTAGACGACACCCAAGCAGAAGACGATGAGAACAACCCAGAGGAGCCAATTTATAGTGCTCAAGAGATCGAGGAGGCCGGACCGCCTTCGCTGCCCAGCAGCGCAACTTCGTGGAGGCTCGTGACCTGTTTCGACCTGTGAAGGCAGCCAGGAAGTGTTCCCCAGTGGATGAGGGCAAGAAGCGCGGCCCTCGCGACAGAGACGCCCGAGGACAGAAGGAGTTTCGGGGATCACGGGCGACATCCAGAGGATCATTTGAAGGGGCCATGGGACACACAAATAAATACACACAAATAACAGGATTCCCATAACAAATAAAATAATTCCCCATATGTTCTGGGTTTTTGTCTTCCCCCCCACTTTTCATACTTTCTTGGAATCGACGAGTAATTGTGTCTGTGTTTTTTCCCCTCCTGATCATGATCGTCTAAAGGTCGTGGACGCGGAGATGGACAACGAAGAGATCGACCGTCCTCCGGAAGTGGAGACCGTCACGGGGCACGTCCTTCACGCAAGGGCCCCTGCTTGAAGTGCGGCGGCAACCACGAGGCTAGGGATCATCGAGACAAGACCACCTCTGCTGGCAGCCGAGGGCGAAACGGCGATCGACTCAAAAACGGTTCCGGCGCCGTCGTCCTCTACTCGGCCCAGCAGGACGCAGAGATGGAGGCCACCATCATCAAGCACGGGGATTGTGGATGCAATGACAGTGGACACCCTAACAATCCTATCATTGAATCAAATATGTGTTCACAATATCGGGAAGATGTTCTAAACATGTTTAAACACATGTTTTTCATGTTCAAGACATGTTTCAAACATCTGGAAATTATTTGGCAACAAGCTTCCTCTCCATTGATCGTCGTAGGCCTCGATGGCCGAGCTGGAGCGGGCGCCCTATCCCAAGAGACGGACACCTCGACAGAGCTCCACCTCCGGGGCCACCGACGGGTCTCGCCCACAGTTGGGCCGAATCGGGGAACGAAGAGTGACATAAGCGCGAAAACTCGGAGGTCCGCGCGGATTTCTCGGATCCGCGCTGAACCCCCTGACGGCGCCTGCGGCGCCGCCCCTGGCGCGCTCCGCGCGCCAGGGAGGAGGGTCCAGCCCCGAACCGAGAAATCCGCGCGGACATCCGAGTTTTTATGTTTATGTCATTCTTCGTTCCCCTAGTGAAGCAGACCTCATCCAAGGGCTTCGGGCGGCTTCGGCATCCTCGACATCGGCGCTAACCCACAGCATCATGGGCATAGAGGCCGCCGAACGCCTACGAGACCTGATCTACCACTACACGGCGAGAACACCAAGACGGATGTCAGCCAGGAGAGAACCTTCGTCTTCGGCGACGGCAACTCCCAGACCTGCACCGGCAAGGCCACCTTCCCGCTGAAGATCGCAGTTGTGGACGGCGCGCAAGAGATCAACATCCCAGACACTGACGCCCCCCTGCTGATCGGGGTGGACATTCTGAGCCGTCTGGGCGCTGGGATCGACTGCGAGGCGCAATATTTGAAGCTCAAGAAGCTCGGCCGCCGAGCTTATCTGCTCGCTCTTCCGAGCGGCCACCTAGCACTGCCCTTTGTTACGCAAACCGGTTTTGGCTGCGTGACCACCCTCAAGTAGGGGTGCGCGCCCTCGACACCAGCACCAGAGACTGCCACGGAGCCAGAGGGGAAAAATGAAAACGAACAACCGATCGAAAGCAAGAACACGGAAACGCCAACCTATGATTCCACAACAGAAAGAGAACACACCAAAGCGACCGGCCAAATGCAAGGCGAATGTGCACCTTGCCGCGCGCGTCTCTAATGCCTTGCGGAAAACGTTGTTCTCAGCCTGCGCGTTGTCGACGCGCCTGCATCAACAAACTTGACACTGCATTCGCCCCACCCGCGCACCTTGCCGTATAAGGACTGTGCTGCATTATGCTCCAGGAGAGCCAAGAATTGAATCGATAAGTCGAATCGGCGATCGAAGTGAATCGGATCGGCGGAAATCGGCAGCCGAGTCGGGAAAAGTCGAACCGGTAACCATCGGCAAGCTAGTAGGCCTCCATGGAGAAAACGGATCCCAAAAATCGGACTCCGATGTCGAATCGAATCGGAATCGGAGTCCATCGAAACCGAATCGAATCGAATCAGAGGAGTCGAAGCGAGCCCTGTGCTCTACGTGATTTCGTTTGTGGACTGCTCGCGTCTACAGAGCGAGAAAAGACTGCGCCGTTGTTCCCACGGGCCCGCGGGCGTGCCTCCCCGGATCAGGGCCAGCGCAGCTGCGACCCCAGGGCTGCCCCACAGGGTGCGGCCCTGGAGCTGCCCGCGCAAGGCGCACGCGCAGGTGTCTCGACATGGCAGCGCGGCGGCGCAATCGCAACGGCCGCTTCACGCTTCGTGGGGGAAACCACCGCCCGGCAGATGACAAGACTCATCCGCGCGCGCATGACCATAACGCCTATGGGAGTTTGGCTACACAATTGAATCCCCCAGGAATCGAACGCAGGAAGTCAAATTCTACTTTTGAGTGTCTATTCTTCGGTAAATAGTGGTTCTCCTACATAAATAACAACCGCGCCCGCAGCCCGTACTCGGGCTTTCTTGCCCCGCAATACCGCACACCGTGTTCCCGCTCGCAAGGATTCCCGCACCGGCGCAATTGCTACACAA